ATCTCTCTTCGCATTAGGTGACCAAAGTACCTGAGCTTGAGCTTCATTATCAATTTTAAATTAAATTAAATTTAATTTAATTTAATTTTTATTATTATCATTTTAATTAAATTAAAAATTTAATTAAAATTTAAAATTTAAACAATTTTAGCATATTATAAAGCAATGTGCTATTAAATGAGGTATTCAGGTGTCCAGCAAATTCTCCTTCTCTATTTTTTCTGGGATACTCTATTCCCCACCCCTTCTACTTGGTCTTTTCTCCTACCATGCCCATTCCAACAGCCAGCCAGCCCTCTGCAACTCTTGGATACTGGGCTATTTTATTAGAATGCAGCCTGAATTTTGAGTTTCCCTAAAACTTCTTATACTACTTCTTGTGTGTGGATGGTGCCATTTGGCTCTATGAGGAGCAACTCAGAAACTGAGTTTACTCTTGTAATATATGGAAATCCTCTCTCTTTTTCAATACACATTGCTGAATTAGATAGAGAGAGAGAGAGAGAGAGAGAGACAGACAGACAGACAGACAGACAGACAGATGATGGATGGATGGATGGATGGATGGATGGATGGATGGATGGATGGATGGATGGATGGATGGATGGATGGATGGATGGATGGATGGATGGATGGATGGATGGATGGATGGATGGATGGATGGATGGATGGATGGACGGATGGATATGATTTCTCAGAAGCATTACGGAAGTGGTTTCTCTTTGCCTTCTTCCAATTTTTTTTTTTTTCAACATCACAGTCAAACCTATAACCTTGGTATTTAATAGGGGCCCTTTATCAAGCTCAACTCTGCTTACCTTTTGAACTCAAACAAGGTAAGCCGTATACTCTCACCTGTGGAGATTAGTTAAAATCTATTTTTAAAAAAATGGATTTGCTTTCCAAACCACTAGTACTCATGTCTCTACTGCAGAGTGACCTGTTGCGAGCCCCAGTAGGTAGACCAGATGAGGAAATCCACTCCACAGGAAGGCTAAAACTGCAATTTATTGAGATAGGCTATAATAACAGAATCTTGCAAGTCTGCTGTCCCTCCTCCCTCTTTTTATAGTCCAATTAGTAAGGGAGGCATCTGCCTGAACCACTTCCAAAGGTTATCTCATTGCTCTGAACTTATAAAAAAAAAAAAAAAAGTTTCAGCCCCTTTTCCCTAGGGGACAGTTCTTGTATATTTCCATCA